AAAGAAAACCGTCTTGACGACTTGATGATTTTATCTTCATCTGTAGATATATTAGACGAACTTGAGTTGGATAAAGTAGCTAACTCGTGGTCTTTATATAAATCAAGAATGATAAAAATCTAGTTTTGCTAAAATCATTATTACTTAATTCCTAAGGTATATGATATGTGCAATAGGTACCATACTTGAAAATTACCAAATATGTATACTCAAATTACAACTTTTATCCTATAAAAATTTGTATTGTAATGTTCGACAATTGGAAAGGGAAACGCCCTTTTCGTCGGTAAAAATGGGATGCTACACCCCCCCACTAGAAATGGCCCAGGAACGCCACTGTTTATAACATAGTTTTAACACGCTTTGAAAATAATGCTGACGTCAGCAATAGTATTTTAAAAACTCCCTGACTCAAGGAAAAATAATTGTAGCTCGCAAAAGCGATCTAGCAAATATGCAACACAGAACGCTTTGTAGCTGTGGTATTTTAGATTTTAGAATTTTTACGTGACATGCTGAATTAATTATATATTTTCTGTTTTGACATTTTAGACTTAACAAAACCAAAGACGACAACGAAACGCTGATACCTGTCTACAAAACGTGCATAAATTATAGTCGAGACATTTGCGGAAGTGTTGAAAAGAAAAACTCTTCTGAAAATGCTTTGCAGAATAATGACGACGAAATAAAAACAATTCTGAACGCAGTTTCATTCACGAAAAATAGTTCGACATGCAAAAGGAGTCTTGAAAATACGTTGTGTATTAAGAAATATCTCAGTTGTGGGAATGGAGGTTTTGGAGGAGACACAGAAGCTCGACTGGCTTCTGAAACGAATACATTTTGCAAAACTTGTTTTAACGATTCTCAAATTAAAAGCAATACCTTACTTGAAAGAGAGATGTATAATTGGTTGAAAAACTTGAGTTGTATTAGTCAATTATTTGAAGAAAAAGATAAAAGCAGTACATCAGGTGAGTTATAGGGTTTTTCGTATGTATATTGAGCTAGTAAAATTTTCCCTATCTTTCTTCTCTCTCCAGATATTGTATTTTATTTTATAATTATATGCTCTTACGACGACGTCAAAAGCGTGCGTGGTATAAGTTTTAACATAGTTAATAGAATAGATGGTTTGGAAATACCTTAGAACAACAATATAACTCATTATCTATGTCAGTCAACGTTTATTTATAAATCTGGTCCTTCACCGTCACGTGAGTATTGTATTTTTGCTCAACTAACCAATAGCAATGTCTTAGGAAAGTTACCTATCCGTGACTTGAACAATAGGGTAAATTGGAAATTGCTATTGGTGGATTTGGCAAAAATACGATAAACACGTGACGGTGAAGGACCATATTTATGAATAAACGTTTACTAACATAGATAATGAGTTATATTGTTATTCTAATGAGTTTCTAAACCATCTATTCTATTAACTATGGTTTTAACCATATATCTTAACCCTCCTGTGCGCTAGTTTCGTATCAAGAAAAAGACTATTCCAGAGTTTACTGTAGCTTCGAGTATAGCAGGGATAAAGTCTGGAATAATCTTCCTCTTGATGCGAAATAAGCGCAATCAGTGCGCGCGAGGGAGGGCGGGAAGGGGAAAGAAGCAGAGACGTCTGGCGGATACATTTTAAAGGTGGCGGACAGTTCAATGGTGAGCGTTTTGCAAAACTACAATAGGCCAGTCCATTTTGCGAATTTAAGAAAATAAAGTGCCTTGTTATAAAAAAGTACCTTTTATATAAAGCCCTTCAACAAATTTTCATATTCCACATCCGCGCCGCCTTTTCCCCGCGAGCCGCATTTTCCTCTCGTCGGTCTCCACCATGCACAGATATTGTGGAGGAGGCAGGTCGAACAGGATTTTGTTCACGGCAGTTTCGACGAAATGGAAACCAGGCTTAAGATACAGTATGTTTACTTTTTTGGAAACTCGCATGCCTTTTAGTTGGCACCGTTTTGTCTTATGATTCTTATAATATTTGATAATGCTTTAGATTTTAATACAGAGTGTTCGACTACTATATTTTAAGGTCTCCATTACTAGCAAGCACACCGTGAAGATGCAAAATATGCTGGCGTCATTCTCTAATGTTATTCTGGTCCCATTCGTACTCGTAGTCAAACCTACGTAGTCAACTTGGACATGTTCCCCGTAACACTTCGTGACTGGCAACTCCCATCAACTCCCATCCTCGTTTGATCGGGCCTGAACTAACGTGTAGTCCAATTAGTCTCACGCCGCCATTTCTGGGTGGCAACCTTTTTTAGAACAGGATAGTAGCTAAGCAATGAAATGAAACTTTCTATAATTATAGTTGTAAGTGTATAATCATTATAAATAGATTTACAGTTAAATATTTGAAAAATTATTTTCACATTGTTTATACAATGGTACCCAAAAATGGCGGAATTAGACCTTCGTGAGAAAGGCTAATTTGATAAAATTTAAATATTTACTTCCAAATTTTTTTAGAAACGAATTTCAGTTCTTGTTCATATCCATTAGTAAAAGATGAAAATAACACGTGTCGTATTCCATGTGACTGGTCCTTGATGAGTCCAAGACTACGAGATATTTATTACGTTGTTATGATTATCAATTTTTGGGCTGCACTTATTACAACCGTCATTACGCTGGCAACACTTGCGTCATTTCGTAAAATGTATGTATATTGTATTTGATGACTTTTCATCTGACGTCACATTAATTTTGATGTACATTTTATGTATTAAACACCGCGGTCAAACGTCAAGCGCATGCGCGGGTCTTAATATTAATGGTTAGTCAGAGAAACTGAATGACAAATTGAAATTTTAATCTTAAACAATGAAATCCCAGAAATACTCGTAAATAGTTCTATATTTTTTATTTATCGTTTATATTATAATGTTGGGCAATTTCCATCAATCGGGCACGTTTTTGCCCCCCGCCCTCTAATTGTTTTCCGCCCGTACGTCTATAATATGCATGAAAGATGCAATATACCCACAGTCCTACCAATGTAATTTGGACGAATATCTTCATGTCAACAAGGTTGGGGGAGTTTAAATGTAGCTCTTTACAGATTTCAGATAACAACATGCCCTGCTATATGTATATGTGCAATTTAAAGAAACAGCTAAAGGCAACCTCGTTCCCAGGGCTTTTCTCTTTTTGTCATTGGGAAGAAAGTTACTTTATAAGGGAGGGGATTTCACTGCTTTTTCCTTGTGACAAGAAGAAGTCATACTCATGCAGTTTACACCCTCGTAATTTTCTTTTCCGCTTTTGCTAGAGCAGTAGAGCTTCCTGTAGACAATGCTATTTCCAGTCATTCGAGTGCAAGGAGTCAGTGCGCGGACGTTTAACCGCGGTGTGTTCATATTACGTTAGGATTAAAGCTATGATTTTATCGCGAACTATAAAATTGCACATACATATAGCAGGGCATGTTGTTATCTGAAATCTGTAAGGAGCTATATTTAACTCCCCCATTTTTGTTGACCTGAAGATATTCGTCCAAATTACATTGGTAGAATTGTGGATATATTGCATCTTTCATACAGTAAGGCGTACGGGCAGAAAACAATTAGGGGGGAAGGGACAGAAACCTGCCCTTTGTCATTCAGGTTCTCTAACTAACCATTAATACTAGTCTTTCAACATTAATATCATTACAAAATACCTTATAGCGAGGTGAGCTAGCGAGGTGAGCTAGCGAGGTGAGCAGGCCTTTGCCCAATTTATTATTTGGAATTGCCCAATTAAACACTGACTTGGGGGGGGGGGGGGCTGCAGACCCTGTCTCGTACGCCTATGATTTCATGCATATAAATTATATATTGTTCTTTTTGCTCCATTTAGGCGTGAATTTCCACACATAGTTCGTTTTTATATTTTGATTTGTTCAGCAATGTATGGTAAGTAAGGATACATCATTAAGACAATCTCCAGAAAAATAGCACTAAATGCCATGATCTAATCGTAGTAAAAACTAGGATTTTAGAACTTGCTAATGCCGATGTTCTTTAAACTGTCGCTGTTATTGCAGTGACACTCTTATAGTGTTATACTGTATAATCTCAAACTCATCAACGATTCGTGCAATAAATTGAAAAGGCCCTTTGCAGGCTCTAGGGGGCCGCACGCTACTGAATTACATGTGTAAATTAGACAACAATGTTGCTTCAGTCATTGCTCACATGGTGATATTTCTTGAGATGAGATAAAATATCGTGTCTAGAATATCTTGCCTATATTCTTGGGTTTCATATGACGTCACAAAAGTGACGGGGGTTCAACTCTAAAACAAAACACAGTTATCAGAGTGAGTCGATTGTTCGTTTTATGTATTAGCCTTGGGTTTGGTGGCAAATACGTGGAATTTCGTATCATTTTCTCACTCCAGTACAGCATAAGCATCAATGCATTTGAGGTTGACCCCCCGTCGGATTCACTGCATAATGCCTTAGTGAAACCCAAGAATAGATTCATTCTCGTATTTCAGAAATGTTTTCTTAAGTCCAGAATTTTTCTCTTTGGCAGTTTGGGTTGTTGTTGAGAAGAAATCATTTCTTAAAAAAACAAAAAAGATTGTAAAATAAGAATTTAATTCTATAGGCTAGAGTAGAGTTTTTGCAGTGCAAATTACTGTACCATTGTCACCACCTTTGTTGTTTTTAGCAACATCTAGTTTACTGCCGTTACGTATTGGACTTGCTAAGGTGTACTGTGGAGAAGAACGATTCTGGAATGAAGATGGACATAGCACGACACCAACAATTATTGAAGGTATAGGAAATGATAGTTCAAACCACGGTTGAAACAATTGATTTACAAATTCATTTATTTATAAAACTACTTAAATGCCCAACATCAATTGATTAATTGGCTGATATACATATAGTCTGCATGTCTTCATTAGCTAAATACAAAAACAGAAATTACGTTCTTGTACAAATTCTTATTTGAATTTATTTGTTTTGCGGCTTTTGTTTTTAATAAAAAATTTCATTACGAAAGTACGACAACATAAATATGTCTGAAGATGAGCATCTATTAGCATTAAAATCCTAATAAAGAAAAATAATTGAGTTTTAAATAAGATAAATTTCGATGGATGATCGTCTCGATCTATTAAATTTGTTTCAAATTATTGTTTCAAAAACATTATAAACAAAATCCTATAACATTCTTCTTTGACTGTATGCATAAGCCTGTACAAATATAAAAAAGTCTTTTATTTCGCAAATATTCATCGACAACAATTTCTTCTACTCCAACTGTCAACCAATTTTCATTTTAGCAGTCGTTTCGCACTACTTTTTTTTAGACGTTTTTCTTGGTCAAAATGTTACGTATCATAATTAAGATTTATTTTATAGTCATACGCCCATATAGGTCAAAGAAGTAATTAATATTATTCATAGATTTTATTCACATCACACAACAATTAAACCTCTCCAATTGCATACGAATTCTTTCATTTTAGCTATACCGTTTTGCACTACTTTTTCTTGAACTTTTTTTTGGTAGTTATTTTATGTCATCATAAATTTTATTTCGTGTCTAGGTTAATACACGATCATGTAAGCTTTATTTATATCATTACACAATACAGTTTGCACTTTTCCAATTAATTGTATTATATGAATTTGTTCATGCATGGTCTTTTTCACAGGTCAAAGTCAGCGATAAGTGCATGTTAAGAGCTATAGTCACTATAGGTTTTATTAATATCACACAATGACAACTTGTACCCTGTACTACTCCAACTAATTTAGAATTCTTTCATCTTAGGAGTCATTTCTCACTATTTTTTCCTGGCATTTTGTTTCTGGTCGTTATGTTATGTTATCAACGCCTATTCTGTAATCATCAAACGGGCACACAAAGTATTCGACAAGAAACGTAAATACCATCTTATCCAGTTTTCTATCTGTTCAACTCTTCCCGCTCTGCTTGTTGCAGTCAATATGGCAGTCAAAAAACCTGGATATAAATCAGTGTTTTTGGATCGAATGACTTCTGTATTTACATCACCAGTACTTGAGTATTTGACGTTTACACTTCCAGTGCAAATTGCTATTGGTATTTCGGTATCTCTTCTCTGGTCTATAATACGCTTCGTTAGGAAGGTAAGTTTAAACGTATTCTATGGAAACGTATGATTGGAAACCCATCTGAGAAGTTTGATTATTTCTGTCTTCTTATGCGGAATATTTTTATCCCAAATATATAACATTCCGCCACAGTGGAACGTAATTACAATACGTTATTGGAATGCTTTTTTGTGATTAAACCCAGCAGTTGAGTGTAAGAGTGTCTGACTGTCTGTTTAGGTGTATAAAATGTTCAATGTAACACTGTCAACTGTTTCTATTTTCCAACTACACCATTCAATAGCGGTGAAAATGTCCAAAGTGAAATGAAGCGAAAATTTATCTTTCTCGTTAATTTTTATCTAAGCACGAAGTGACATCTCGTCTTGCTGGGATCGCTCGTCTCCCATACGAATATATGATCTTTATGATGTACTGTATTAGCAAGGGCATGAGGGTATCAATCAGGGGAGGTTTCCGGCTAGGCTGGTCCGGTGTTGACAGGCCCTAAGACCATGCTTCATTCACACAATGCATGATTTTCTTACTATAGATAAGGAACATACACAGTAGGAAATTTATCACTATACTACTAGAGCATTGACGTACCAAGTTTCTTTGATAGATCATAAAAAAACTGACATACCTCCAACTTTAATTGCAGGTGCGCCAGAATAAAACGACGTTTCAATCAGTGCGTCCAGACGAAGATATCAAGGGATTCATCAACGCTGAACGTCAGTTTATAAAACTTGCTGTTTTATTCATTGTGACAGTTGCTGTTGTCTTATCTTCCGAAGTCGTTATAACATATCGAAATGAGGAGTATCTACACAAAGTTCATGAATACTTCCATTGTTTGAAGGTAAAAAATTATCCTTAAACTTATCCCAATTACCATTTTATGCTAACCAGGTTAAAACTCTCTTGAAAAAGTTGACAAAAAGGTGCTTGTGCCGCGGTGTGAACTGATTATATGTGGCAGATTTGTTGTCAGGAATACTGACGAAGTGCTGAATCAACCTTTTTTTGAATTCCTCAATCTACAAATGTTTGTAAAATGGCTTTGAAGAATTTCTAGCCCTATGGGTATTGTTGAAACAAGTATCCTTACATTTTCTTAATTATATTTTTGCAACAATGTAAAAGATTTCAGTGAGGATACAAGTAAAGATTGATTTGATTTCAATTGCCTTAGGTTGCCTGCACAATACTGTACGTCGTAATTTCAAAATGGCGTTGCCATAAGTATTGATACGAATATCAATATGTCGCAGAAGCTTTATCTGGAAGAATTTGTACATGCACATATTTTCATTTTACTGTATGTTCATGATCTACTGTACTCTGTGTTTTTTTTTCACTGCATGTGTTCTCGTAGCGTATAGTATATGAATTGTGAGTTCCTAGCGAATCTAGGGACATGTTTAGCCTGAAACGATTTTATTTCACAATCCACTGTTCATCCTTTGATGCAACCGTTTTTCATCATATATCATTTCATTTTTAGGCATCCAATGGAAGCTGCCCAAAACCCGAGGTCCGAATATTCTTCCTGTCCAGCGTAAAAATTTGTGGTCCTGGAATTTATTGCCTACTGAACTTTTTCTTGCTATTTTTCAACAAAGACACTCGTGCTGTTTGGAGAAAGTGGCTTGACAATATACTACTCTGTAAGCGCACGGAAAAAGATGAAAAACCTTCTTCAGGTCCCAGTGTTGTTTTGCCAACGAACAATAATAGAACACGACCACGGTCCTGTACTTTAGACACAAATGCCAGCTTAAATTCACTACACAAGTTGTCAACGTATTCTACGCGTCTCGAAACACTTCGTTCAAATGAAGATAGTACATCCATCGCAGGATCAATTTCGCCAAAGGAGGATTCGCCACTTAAAATCAATGGTAATACCAGCTAAATAGGAAACTGTAGAGTGCAACCTTCTAGCCGCCTTTCAGTGGTATAACTCAATGTTCGCTCGCTCAAGGATTGTCGAAAACGTGTTATACCACAATTTCCATTGGAAACCAAGGAAAAATTCAAAATCCAAACTGTGTTCGTGACCGGGTAAAAACTTGTCAAACGTATTCCATGCATGTTCCAAATATCAATATCATATAGGTAGTATAGTATTATTTAAAAGATAGCAAATGGTTTGCACTTCTTGTATATAGAAAAATAACAAATATAACTATAGCAAATAAATAGATACTGTACAGACTGTACAGATACTGTAGATGTTGATCTTTACATTATGCGAACGTTCTCTACTTCGATCACGCACTTGCTGTTGATGTCGGCGCAGATTGGAAGACTTGGAGAATAATTTTCCACCGATATGACAAGGACGAGACATATTTACTGAATTACTCAACGACCGACTGACTGATAGACAATGAACTACTACATAAACAACACATGGTTTATATTATGTCAGAGATCAAGGGGTCCTAGCGATCCTTAGCTTTATAAAAGCTAGTTCTATGTATTTCTCATTCATGCAGTTCAACAGCAAGCACTATTGAATTCTGCATCCCATAAACAAATTCGATTTCTACTATGTAATGAATGTACGAATTTCGCTCTTTTTAATCTTGGACTTGACTGTGAGTTTGTTTGCTTCGAAGAAGACAGTTTTATATTTGTTGCTGCTTTTCGCACAGTGGTTGTCTCCGAACTTAATATTGTATATTTGTATTAGATGCGACGCTGCATGGAGCGATACAAGAACGGCAGTGCCAGTGATTCAAACGGCGTACAACATGTAGTGTTATTGACAAGGTTGGGGCGCATTCCTGCGAGATTCCTAAATAAAATTCAAAACAAATAAGTCTATTTTTAAATTACCAGATGGCTAATCCAATACTAACAAATTTCAAAGTGAGGTTTGGCATACGAGTGGAGCGGCATATGAATCAATGTCGCTCCAACCTCGAACTTGTGTTGTCGCTCCAAATTCTGCTGTACTTTACAATTGATTCACGTCCCTCTTCTGTTGTACATAATTTGCCAATAGACCTTATGCATAATGACGTCACAGGGCTTGATGCCCGCGAGGAATGCTGGTCTTAGTAGTCATCGTCCGGGAAAATTAAACAATTCAAAATGGCCACTATCGAAATTTTCCCGGGCGATGAGTACTAAGACCAGCATTCCTCGCGACAAGACAAGGTTCATTATATAGTCATGCTGATTATAAGAAAAATTAGCATTACTTGGTGTGACCTTCGAAAATTGAATAGAAATAAATTCATTTAGTTTTTTAATTGTACAATTATGCCGAATCTTATCAAATTGGCAGAAATTTGTTCTATGATCATGGATTATTTCATCCTTGATAAAAACTAAAGGAAATGTTAACAAGGGGGTATACCCCAGGGGGTCCCCCATCCTCTACACACCCAATCATCCATAAAATAATTTGTATTACTGTTTAAAAAATATAGATTACGTGAAAGGTACTCTTAAGTCACACACATGTAGTGCGATAGTGTATTATTGGTGACTGTTGTGAGAAAGTATTCTTGCTTTTTGGTTTAATAAATTAATTAAGTTGAGAAATTCTATGCTTTGTAACTGCAGGCGATATGACATGCACAGAATCGAGAAATCAAATTTTGACTATAATGACCGCACTCGCTATTCACACTCCTGTATATATTGACACTCCTGTAAATTTAATATAATTCGAATTTCAAACAGCTGCATCCATTATATCTAGACGTCGACAGGGAATCTAATTTTGTTATTAAATGTACATTAATATAGCTTTTTATTACTTTTTTTGCCTTGGATACAATATTACACTGCATATAATGGTTAATTTTGCGTATATTGCAACTCAACTTTTCTAGTGCATGCGGAGAAAAAAATATGCTTTTTATATCTATATAGAACTAGAAATACGTTGAAATGTCAAATATTCCTGCTATATCTGCATGGTAAAACCTAACTATGATTCAACTTTGGACAAACATCTGTTTTTGCACTGGAGTTATTTGTGCATGTGTTTTGTCGCTCTTAACGATATTTTTCCACCGTCCCAGGTTGCGCACAATGAACTCTATAAAAACTGGAACGAAACTCGGACTGTGATTTTCAAGCCAAGATGGTGGAAATTGAAGCCCGTCTTGTAGGTATATATGCCTTAGACCCCTACGCCAAAATGCACTGAATTCAGTACGAAAAATCGACATCATTTCATGTAGAAATTACATAATTTTTCGGCCGATCATTTTTTTAAGTCCGGCATTACCGTGGCCCTAAGAAACTAGAGCAAGTGGTCTTTCAGAATAAAAGAATAGATACAAAGTGAAAAACAAGTTCAGAACCCCCCCTCGCCCGGAGAAACACCAGCAAACGTTTGTTTTTCTGGACTAAATACAGAATAATATGGACTGCAGTTGCATCCTCAGACCTTTTATTTAGTTTTTTGAATAATCTCAAGGCTATCTTCTAACGAGGTTGATCAAAATGAAATTACAAATAAGCAGAAACAAGACGTACCAGATAGATCCTGCAGGAGGTTAAACTTTTGCTTAACGAATTTTGTCATGCCGACGGATGCGTACATCATAAAATACGGTTCCAGGGCTTACAACGCCCTGATGTGTTCTTCTACTCCTCACAAATTGAATAAGGGCTCAATCGTATATGGATTGACCCATTATATATATTGGTCAATCCGCATATATAGATTGTAGCAGCGACACACGTTCAATATTTCGATGCAAGCGACAATATATAAGGGCTGTTAAACTATAATGGAAACTAAAAGCTGATAAAAATACGTTCATCAAAAAATTATCAAAAATCCATGCACCTGTGAAGAATCAAACTGTAGACGATGAAGAATTTATCTGTTTTTGACGCTGATGATTGTGGATTTAGTCCTATTGTTCCTTCAAACAAATACTATGTCATCAATCAGTTCTTCGCATGTGCAGTCTATGGCCTACTGTTTATTCCTACAGTACTTCTAAATAGTATTTCCATATTTACTATATTAAAATGTTCTCAACTGAATGAAAAAGTTAGCTACTTTACCATTCTAATTCAATCAGCAGTTGACTTAATCACAGGTGTGGTAACCTTGCCCATACTAACGGCCTACGTTCTACTCAAAGACGTTATTCGAGTTGAAAATAAGATTATATGCTGGCTTAATTATACGTTTGGCTACTTCCCACCTGGCCTGTCCTTATTGACGTTATGTGCATTAAGCTTTGAGAGATATATGGGCGTTTTACATCCTTTTATTCATCGGACTCAAGTGACCAAAAAACGAATTATGATATATGAATGTTGTACAGGATTGCCACTTCTCGTTTACGTTCTTAGCCAGCCCATAAACAGCACAGAAACAGGTAACATAGTTATAATTGCCGTTGTGCTCATTTCCTCGCTTTTTTTGTTGTTTGTTTACACAAGGATTTTCGTCAAAGCTAGAAAAAGTCTTTACTCTAGCAACAGACCCGGTAATGGGGTAGCACAACCAGATACGTCTGAGGTGAGAGGAAAAAGACGTTTCCTAAGAGAACTGAAGTTAGCAAAATCTTGTTTTTTAGTTACTTGTACATTTGGTCTATGTTTTCTACCTTCAATAGTCCTTTCATGGCCTACACTTCATCTAGAAGACGAAACATTCGAAATGATCTGGTGCTGGACAATTGCTTTACCTGTAGCGAACTCCAGTGTCAATTCAATCATCTTTTTCTGGTCCAAGGCAAAATTGAGGAAAGAAGCGATGAAAGTTTTAAAAATATGTTGTTCCTAAAGTTCGCCAATCTGCTGATTGTAATACACTTCTGCATGATCTGAAGTATACATGTTTAAGTCTTAAGAATAAGTTTTTGTCGGTTGCCATTGTTACTACAAAAATTAATGAACACCATGAATCAAGGAAGATGTATGGAATAAAAATGAGTGTCAAGAAAATTAACAAAAACGCTGTGAGTTTCCAAAACAAGACGTTTAGAAGGAACAATAATTGAACAAGTAACATCACTCTCTTATTCCTGGTCGCATAATCACAGAAGACGGACGAAGTGAGAAAGAAATATGGCAGAGAATTGGCGTGGCAAAAGGAAAGTTTAGAGAAAATAGTAGTAGCTAACAAGGAAGGACATGTCAAGGTTAGAGAATTTGAAAGCTGGGTATCAGTGGCGGAAATCTCGGTGGGGCGGCCGCCCCCCCCCCACCTTTGTGGAAAATGACGAATTTTCGGACATTTTGACCTAAAAGAGGGCTAAAAACAACCTTTTCGAGTGCAAATGGGGGTTTTTGTCGGAAATTTGAAAGTTTTGTCGGAAATTTAGAAGGCTTCGCCCCCCCCAAAAAAGTGAATTTCCGCCACTGCTGAGTATTGAGAAAGATGTTGAAGGTCAAGTGGTCAGGCACCGTAGGAATAATTACAATTTAAATGAAATTGGAGAAACAACTAGTCAAGAAAATCACACGACAACAACGTAAATCGATAGGATATATTTTACAAGATAAAAATCTTCTCAAACTTGTATTATACAAGGAAGATACCCAAATAAACGAGGAAGAGTACGTAAGAAAGGCTCTACTACAACCATAGATGGCTGTCGCAGACTGCCATTAATCAGGGCCGGATTAACCACGTGGCAGATGCGGCATATGCCGCGGGCCTCGCGCTTATGGGGGCCTCGCGCTTTACTGCGCCACGCCCATTTTGACGAGAACACGCCCATTTTCCATTGGGATACGACCATTTTAGGTGCCTCACGAATTTAGATGCCTCGCGAATTTAGATGCCTCGCAAATTTAGGGACCTCGCGCATTTAGGGCCCCTAGGCACAGAATACTACACAGAAGTCCATCTCCATTGCTTTTTGCGTAAGCTCTATTCGTCATGATTCGTCACTCAGCAAGTACCGTAAACAGAAACAGACATCCCCTGGAAATACTTAAAACGGCGCACATCCAGGGGGTGACTGCTTCTGTTTATGGTACTTGCTGAGTGACGAATCATGACGAATAGAGCTTACGCAAAAAGCAATGGAGATGGACTTCTGTGTAGTATTCTGTGCCCTAGGCTTGGAAGTTGGCTCCAGGAAAATATACAATACCCGTATGCATGTAATCTCCAGTTGGGCTGAGCTGTTATATGACCCTGTTTATACTTGTTGACCCAACGACTGGGCCAGGCAGGCCACTGTCTCGTTTATAATTGATGCTAATCAATTGAAATATTGAATAGAAGGCATTGTATTAAGTGGGTGACACTGTTTGTCGACAACAGCTTTTGTTCAGAAATCCTGGTGGGGATAGCTTGGCTGCGAAATTGCGGTGATTTCCGGATAAAATTGAAAACAATTATTTAATAATTTTGTGTGTCTTTGAATTCAAAGGTTTTTATAACGGG